ATTAAATAAAAATGAAGTCATTAGGGTGGGCCATAATCCAGTATGACTGGTATTGTTTTAAGAGGGAATTTGGACACAGACACCCAGAGGAACAGCCATGTGAAGGCACAGATGGCAGATGGCTGTATATAAGCCAAGGACAGAGGCCTAGAACAGATCCTTCTGTCATGACCCTCAGAGGGAACCAAACTGCCAATGACACCTTAATCCTGGACTCCAGAAATGTGCGAAAAGGCATTTGTGTTGGTTAAGCCACCCAGTCTTTGGTACTTTGTTATAGCAGCCCTAGGAGACTCATACAGATGGGTGTATGTAGACACATTCTTGTTAGGGTGGGTACAGTGGATCTAAAGAAATCCTAGCCCAATAAGGCTTTCACAGGTAATTCACCTTGCAGGCCACCTACCATTCTCTTTCCTCTTTTTACCTGCACTTATTTTCTTTGTCGTGATGAATGCCGCCACATTGGTTTCTTACACTTGGCCAGGCTCCATGCCACTGGGAATGGGCCATCACTGTCTGTTACACCGTTTAGTTTCTTCACATCACTCCACAGGAATTATTTCTCCTCTACTGCGCTTACATATTTTAAATAGAATCCTTCTGGAAACTTATTCTAAACTATTCTAGACTTTTGCTCCTGAACAAAAAAATCCTAACAATATACTTGTCCCTCGGTTTCATCTTGAGAACACATGAATAAGCCTGATTGGTTAGATCATATTTCAAACCCTCAGGACTCTGGTTATCACTGCCTCAGCTTCTCTTCACTCTGGTCTCTCTGTCCCCATGCCAACCCAACCGTTCACCAGTGACAGCTTTCGCCTCACTGTGTGGATCAGCCTCGACCACAGGAGGAGCACGAGGCAATCCCAGCAGGACTTCAGGGGCCTCAGTAGGCCTCCATCTGAAGCACCTCTGCCATTAACCTACCAGATGCCCTAAAGTCCTCTCGTTAGTTAACATCCTTTGGGCTCAAGGAGGCTGCAGTTAAAAGAGCTCCAGAAGCTGTCACTGCCCAGCCGTGGATTCTAGTGCTAGAATCATCGAGCCTGTTTCCTAATAAGCAGGAAACTGAAACTGGGTACTAAGGAAAAGGGACATGGAACAAGATGAGGGAGGGGAAACTGGGAGGAAAGGCGACCAGGCACAGAATATAGAACAAGACTGGTCAGTCAGGGGGGCCAGCTCCCTCATAAACACTCAGGGGGTGGGACAGGAGGGACAGATCCCCAGGAGACAAAGGAGGTGGCAATGAGCTCCTGCCTAGCCTGTGATGGTTCAACCCTCCAGGAATAACATCTTGTATTTGTAAAGGTTTTAGAGTTCACAAAGCTCTTCACATATGCATCACATCATCTGGTCCTAGCAACACTGAAAATGAGGCAGAACACATATCTGCATTTTAAGGTCAATGATTTTGAAGTCCAGATAACTAGTAAGTAACAGAGATGAGTTTTGCCAATGGATTTCAGCCCTGAGCAAGTTCACTATGGATTCAGTGAGACCGAGGAATGACAATGGAACATTCTTGGGGTAAAAGGGTTTATTACCTGGTTTGTTCTCCCAGAAACAGGCTGAGCACTAGAATTACATCTTCACCCAACAGTCTATAGATCTGTAATCCTCCTTCATCTCTGCCTCTGCCCAGAGCACTGGGCAGAGCTCTTTATATAGTAACTCAGTCAATAATAGCTTATTGCCTAAAGGTTTGGAAGTGGTAGCCTAGCAGTAGGCCAGTTATATCATCAAATAGTATAGGTTCAGGTGAGGATTTTGGTCATAGGAAGTTCCATTTTCCCCACACCTCCTAACCCCTGGTCCACCTCCTTTTACAGTGCACTAGTTAAGAGTTCACATCTGAAGACACACAGACCTAGATGAAATCCAACTTTGAGACTGATTAGTTTTAGAATCTTGTGCAAGTTACTTGATCCCTCTGGACCTCAGTTTATCTTCTGTAAAAGGTAATGTTATAAAGATCTTCTGAGCAGGTGCACATGTGGGGAAGTTCCTATGGCCAGGATCCTCACTGAACTTAAACCACCTGATGATGTAACTGGCCTGTTGCTAGCATACTGCTTTCACACCTTTAGGCAGTAAGCTATTATTCCACTATGAAGAGAGCTTGACCCAGTGCTCTGGGCAGAGGTAGAGATGCTAGTGCCCCACCTACTGCTGGGAGAACAGGCCGGGTAATAAACTCTTTCATGTTTACTGTCATTTTCCTCGGTCATATTGAATCCATAGCAAACTTTTCCTGGGCTGAAACCCATTGGCAAGATAGCAGATAGCATATAAGGATCTTAGAACATGCCTGGCACACAGAAAAAACAACAGGCATCAGCTATTAGCTTCATCACTAATATACCATAGCAGAAAGCTATGGGCCAACTCTGCCACCTGTTAGAATCATCTGAGGTGTTTCCCCTCTATTACTGCTACTCATGCTTCATGCCAGACTATTAATTCAGACTCTGCAATTATATGGTCCAGACACTTGTATTTCTTTTCTTTCTCTCTCCCCATTCTTTTTTATTTTATATAAGCCTCTTGGATGATTCTGATTACAAAGTGTCACAGTGAAGAAGGAATGACATGAGGCAGTATTTCTCAAACTGTAGGTTGCATTGACATCACCTAAGGACCTTGTTAAAATCCTGACTGGAGGGGCGGAGCGAGGATGGCGGCGTGAGTAGAGCAGTGGAAATCTCCTCCCAAAAACACACAGAGCTATGAAAATATAACAAAGAAAAATCTTCCTAAAATAGAGACCACAGGACACAGGACAACATCCAGACCACATCCACACCTGCAAGAACCCAGCACCATGCGAAGGGGGTAAGATACACTGGGCAGAGGCAGAGATGCTAGTGCCCCACCTACTGCTGGGAGAACAGGCCGGGTAATAAACCGTTTCATGTTTGCTGTCATTTTCTTTGGTCATATTGAATCCATAACAAACTTGCCCGGGACTGAAACCCATTGGCAAGATAGCATATAAGGATCTTAGCACATGCCTGGGACACAGAAAACACAACAGGCATCAGCTATTAGCTTCATCACTAATATGCCACGGCAGAAAGCCATGGGCCAACTCTGCCACCTGTTAGAATCATCTGAGGTGTTTCCCCTATATTACTGCTACTCACGCTTCATGCCAGACTATTAATTCAGACACTGCAAGTATATGGTCCAGACTGTATGTCTTTTCTTTCTCTCTCCCTTCTTTTTTATTTTATATAAGCCTCTTGGATGATTCTGATTACAAAGTGTCACAGTGAAGAAGGAATGACATGAGGCAGTATTTCTCAAACTGTACAGTGCATAGACATCACCTAAGGACCTTGTTAAAATGCAGACTGGGATTCAGTATGTCTGGAGTGGGGTCTGAGATTCCTAAATTTTAACATTTTAATTCCTGAGCATTTCTAGCAAGCTTCCAGGTGACGCTGACACGGCTCATGTAGACTCACTTTAAATAGAAAGGATACGGAGATTAGCACAGGAGAGAGAGGGGTGACCAAAAAAGAGAGGGATGACAAGCAAGAGACAAAAAAAAACAAACAATAAAAACCACAGAGACCTAACATATGCTGGCCCCTTTGACATCATCAATGACCCAGTGAAAAGCAATAAGCAGAGCCTGACAAGTAGACCTATCACGTGGTAACGATTACTATTCATCACGATGAGACCACCACCACTACCTAGAAGTGTTTCAATGTTTCCTCTCCCTCCCACCACTGCCTCTCTAGTGGATCCTTGCTTCCCCTCCTGACTCTGCCTTTCTTTAATTTCTGGACTAAAAAAGCCTTTCCTTCAACGTGAAGATGGCACTTACTTTTCACCATGGATCCCCTTCTTGGCTGTTCTGTTTCACCAGCCCTGGATCATGGCCTTCATCCACTCCACCCTGAATCCATCAGACTGCAGGCCACCAGGGAACTGAGGGTCCCACAACGAGGGGCCCAGCGTAGGCTTCACCTTCGTCTACAAACTGACTACTCCCTCACTGCCTCCTTGGTTTTGTTTCTCCAGAGACACGACCTAAGATTTCATGTGTTTTCTTGTATTTCCTTATTTCTTTCCAAAAACCTAGATCACACAATCCTGAGAAGCCTGTGACCAAAAGAAAACTCATCACCCTCTTTTGCCTAGGGCAGTGGGGTGCAACGCCGGCTGCCTATGAGAATCACCTGGGACCCCATGCTGCCCACCTCCACTCTCTCAATTGAGGTGGGGCCTGGTAATGTGTATCAAAGGTCAAAAACCATTGCTCTTGGGAAGCCAGATTATTTCTAAGTAGGAACTAAGCAGAAACAAGCTGCCTCTCCACAATGAAAGCATCATGCCTGGTGGGGGAGAGAGGCAAGTTTCTATCCTACATTCATTTCCTTCTTTGATGGCTCCCACAATGAAGGTAAGGGAGTTCTGGAAGCAGCAGGGAGGTCAACTCTAAAGATGTAACAATTTATGGTTCATTAATCTCAACCTTGCAAAGCTGGCCCAGGTAGGGTGCAGCTGTCAGCTCCGTGGGGCATGAATCACTCACCGGCCAAGAGCAGGGAGGGAAATCCAACTGCCACTCCTACACCTCAGCGAACCACGGACTACAATTTCACTAGCACACGTTTTTTCAACATGCCAGTTAAAAAAAAGATTCATTTTCCCACAGATTGAGTACATGACTTCAGGAGCTTAAAAGGCAACTAACAAAGCCGAAAGCTGAACCAAAGAATGCAAAAGAAACCTCCTGACTTCGTCTGTATTCTACCTAAATATTCTTCCCCCAAAAGGGGATTCAGCTGTACAGACCTGGTTTACTAAATCTACAAAATTAAAGAAAACTCAACTGAATAGGAAATGATGGACAACACTATACATGAACAGAATATATTCTACAAATTAAAGAAATTCAGCCATTGCAGGGAACAGCTGTGATCTCTGCAAACAAATCTTCACCCACGACAAAATCCCTGTAAGTGAAAACATCGTACCTGATGAGATCTGGTTCTGCACCCTCGTTCTTAAAGGATGCCAGAAGTAGTCTCTCTCGAGTTACAAGATCATCCAATAGGTTCTGTCTTCGGTCTCCTTCAAGCTGTGTTCTGCAGGCATCTTGTTAAGGTCCAAAGGTGGGCAAATTGCCTCCTTTTACCTATATCATTAAGTGAGCTCTCCAAGTCAGTTGCAAGTTACAGACTCTAACCTACACGGTCCAAAAAAGATCTGAACTGTTCTCCTGCTCTGACCTTCAACTTCACTTATCCTTCATGTAAAAGACCTTCACAGAATCACTACAGGGGGACTTATAGACACTGACATAAATCCATCACACAATCCCTTCTTTGAGAAATATCCTAGGTAGATACTATTTTCCTGCCAGTGACCAAGACTGAAATAATCAGTCTTGTCAACAGGGCACTCTGACTGGTGTTAGGATTTAAGGATGTTTTCCTGGATATTAGTACCCTAAGAGTCTCTGTAAAAAAAAAAAAAGGAGAAGAAAAGGTTCACTATACTGCCTTCTTTCTTCCATGGTAATGCCTATTAACAATGCAATGCACCTGTAATCTATTTTGTAAAGTGCTACTTTCTGCAACAGATTTGCACTAAACATTGTTACCATCAGTTCATTATTTAAATACATGGTATGGTATTAATTCAAAGAAATAATCATATTTTAATGTATTATTCTAAGCATATTAAACTAGGAGTCCAAAGCCTATTAGTCCTATTTTGACCATTTTCTATGATCATGAACGAGTTATTTCACCTTTTTCAATGTTTCCTTGCATGTAATGCCAGATAATCTCTAACACCTTTTCCAGCATAGTTTGTAATTTAGGGTTAAAAAAAAAACAACAAGAACCAAATCCAAAGTTTTACACACTGGCTTTCTCAAAGCAAACTATGCAACTTCTTCTAAGCTGAGAGTGTATCTGTGTGTGTTTAAAAAGCAAAATAAAGGAAATGTTGATGGATAAAATTTCTGCCATAAAGAGAACAATTGGAGAAAGCTAACAGTTTTGAAAAGACAGATTTGACACAAGAAGTAAGCAAACACAAAAATAAGCCACCTCAACACAATGGGTTTTATCTGGCTTTTCCTTTTTTAGTAATTGGCTTTTGTTTTATTAGAGCTGAAATTCTAGTAGGTCAGGGTTATCCTGGCCACAGTTACTAAGTTCTGGTAATAGTAAAACATTAGTAAGGCTGCTGCCTTAGATTTATAGATACTTTGCTTTTTAAAAGCAGACATCAAACACTGCATTCAGGCACAGAAATTTCTGAGAAATTCGTAGAATCGAATAATAGTATCACATGCCCTGGCAGGGGCAGGGGCAGGGGCAGGGGCACGCGTACGGGTGGTGGGAACTACAACCCGGGGACTCTACTTTTGTTGCTAATTTTGAGTACAAAGAGCTAGCTTGCTATAAAAGTGTAAATAAACCCATAAAAATTTTCCCCAGCAGCAGACAGTAGCTAGTAACATCATAAATCTCCAAATCAGGGTAGCTAAGCAGTGGTAGTGGCTTTAAATATTAAAAAATAAATAATAAATGATTTCTCACAACATTCCAGAATGCCATGCTCTCCTGAATAAAATTACTACCATTGCTTTCCCCTTTCCTACTTGGCTACAGTCAGAAAGACCTCATCTTGGGAAGCATGAAGTAGCAACTATCACTAAAAAATAGCTGCTTAAGTAACTCCTCTGTATTAATAAGAGGCCAAATGTTAGCCCTTCAATCAATGCAACATCAAGAATAAATATCAATGCATTTCAAATCAGTGGTAAACTATCAATAAAGCAGGAGGCTTTTCTTCTAAAACTTCTCAGGGAAAAAAAAAGCAGCTATGACATGAATTATACAGGACAAAATAGAAATTTTAAAATGTGTAAACAATTCTATCATAATAGTAACTAAATTTCTCTTATGTTCTATGCTCAACAGGCTCTGGCAACCTGTGGTTTTGAGTATCCTATCACCCAACCAAGACATAAACTGAGCTGTAATCCATTATTACAGTTAAGCACAGATTTAACTGGTTCAGGGATTTAAACATTAAAAAGTCAAATTACAAAAGTATCATTAGAAGACATAGAAGAACTTTTTAATAATCTTGGAGTACGAAAAGTCTTTCTAGTTAAGACTGAAAACATAGAGGCCAAGAAGGAAAAGATAAACCTGACTTTATAAAAGATTTTAAACATATGCAAAATAAATCACAAGGGACTAATATTGGCAAATTTAACAAAGGCAAAAGATACAGCAGAGCACAGAAAAAAGAAACACTAATAATCAAATGAGAAACACTCAGTTTTACATTAGTACAAGAAATGCAAACTGAAACCTATCACTCCCACTGTCAACTTAGGAAAGCATGATGAGCAAGTTTTGAAAGGGCAGAGGAACCCTTCTTGCTGGGACTGTAAACAGGTTCAACAGTTGCCAGACTGCCTTCTAAATACCTAACAAAATTTTTAAAGTCATCCTTTTGATAGGAATTCCTTCTATGGATCTGTTCACACATCAACACAAAGATGTAGGGACAAGGATGGTCACTGCAGCATTAATTAAAATAGCCAAATATTAGAAATACCCTAAGTCCACCTAATAAAGAATTAATGCATCTATACAATGGAATGTTTTGCAGCCTAAAAAGAAAAAAGAGTAAGAACACCTTTTATGTACTGATGATAATGATTATTAACATTTCCGAGCACTTACTAAACGCTTACGTGAATTATTTGACAAGGAACCATCTCCAAAATACAGGGTTAAACCAAAAAAAATAAAATGGCAGCAAAGAGCTAAACAGTGAGTAGTATGCTACAACTGCATCAAAAAAATCAGATAGACATATCTATGTTTGTATACACACAATATTTCTGGAAGGACACAAACAACAGCCTTTAAGGAGGGGGAACTAGGGACTCGGGGTGTGAGAGAGACTTATTTGTAATTAAATGTTGTTTTGTCTATCATGTGCTAATTAATAAAAACATGACTTTCAGAACTGTATGGATAGCCCTTTATAGTCACAAATATTTCTATTTACATGTGTATATATACATATATATATATATATATATGTTCATGCCTAGGAAAGTCTGGGATGACAGGTACCAGCCATCGATGTTGTTAACTATGAAGAAAGAGATGGAATAGGATGGGGATGATGAAGAGAGGAGTCACCATAAGAAGTAACAATACGAAGTGTACATAGATTCAGTACTTTTTATGATAAAAACAATAATGACAAATTTCAAAATTTAGCAGACACTATGGACTTAAACTAGTAAAGAATGGACTAACAATTAAACAACATCAATTTTAAGAGCACTAAAACTTGGTGGTTATGTTTTATAGATTAGTAACTGAAGAACAGAATCATAGACAGTTAATGATACAAGAGGTCTTGGAGATCTGCTAATCCAATTCTCTTGTTCTCCTGACCAGGAAATTAAAGCCTACTGTGGCTAAGTCACCTGGATGACTAATGACAAGGCTGGGCTAGAGCCTGGCTCTTTCTGCTCTAGGTCAGGGCCTTTCCACCACATCGTGCTGGGCTTGACCACCATTCCAGAGGCTTCTCCACTCTGAGGCTCTCAGTACTGCCCACTTAACTTTGCCACTTCTTAGCACCTTGTTCAAAAACAGTAACAACACTAGGAATACTAATTCAGAATATTCCCACAGACTCGCTATAAATCTGGGAAAACTGGAAAGTAACACTTTACCTCTGTTTGATTTTTATTTTACTCTACTAAGAGAACACAGCATAAGGAGATGGATTTGGGGGTGGGGGAGGAGAATAGATGAATGGTCCTTCTGCATAGCACACTTACTACACAGGGGTTGTTAACAAGAGGCCAAAGAATCAGTTAAGCAATGATCATACTGCACGTTCACGGTAGTTGTAGGCAGTGAGGACAGGACAGCAAAGGACAAGTAGAAAAAAGGACGTGTAACTGAGTGAAAAAGTTGGCATCTCTGCCTTCATATTGTTATTTATCTCTTTTGCTGCCTTAACCTTTGGACTGAAAGGGAAAAAAAAGGAAATGGGCTTCTACTCAGCCCTGAAGCCCTGCACATAGGCTCGCTGATCATCCAAAGGAATTTTGCTTACAGTTTGAGATTTCTGGAAATACCTCCTTACCCGAAGCTTGCCTCCTCCAGGAGATAGGGAAATGTGTATTAATACATTAAGTGTCTTGTCAAAGAGTTTTAGCGACATTACAACCACGCATAGGTCATTGAGAGTCAACTAACCAAGGTCACGGAGTTTCTCAGCTCTCCTTGGATCCTCGCTGGCGTCCAGATGTCTGAAGCCATCAGTCACCCCCTAACCTGCTCTCTCTCCTGATTCCTCTTTCCCTAGAATTAAAGAAGCTTGCAATCAACCCTGAGTTAAGATTGGGCTTTAGGACATTAGTCTGTCATCTCGGCCTGCTGGCTTTCTAAATAAAATCGCTTTCCTACCCCAACACCTGTCTCTTGACTTAATGGCATGATGCTGGATAGGTAACAGGCACAAGGTCAGTGGCCAGTACTGGGCCTCCTTTTGCACCAACTTGGGGGATCACCAAATAAGGAAAGAGGAAGCTCTACGACAGTACTTTGTCACTGGCTAGGCTGATTTTACATGGTAAGAACAGCCAATTTAGGCGCAGTAACATTGTATCCAAAATCGGATGATTCCTTATTATCAATACCCATTCAAGGTGCTTAGGCCCAGCTTCTCTGCAGTAGCCTGAAAAGCACTCTGAACCTAAGAGGAAGTGGAGTGATGATGCTACTAAACCCATAGGATTCCCCACCCCAACCCCAGCTGCCGGATTTTTCTCTTTATTTGGTAAAGGCCTAAGAATTTCACCAAGTCTCACTTGGGAATGAATTGCTCTGGAGAAAGAAGACGTTTGCAGATGATTACTTTTGGGTGCCCTCAGAGGAGAACTGCAAGGAGACAGTTTCAGGTCTTTGGAGCCAGAAGACTTTTCTGGCCCAAATGGCATTATATATTTTTCTTCTTTTTAAGTTAACAAACTCTACTGAAGATTCTATTATGTACCAGGCCAGCTCCATACCTTCCTCAAAGCACTGATCACATTCTGCAAGGATTATTTTAGTACTATCATTATCTGTGTGCTTTGATATAACCTCCTCACATGGTTATAAACTCCATAAGGAAAGACTGCTTGCAAATTCTCAATGGTAACTATGACTTTTACAATCACAATAAAATAATAAAAGCAGCTAATCCTCAAGGAGGGCTTACTAGATGCAAAGTACCTTCAATGCATATAATTTAATACTCATAACAATCCTAAAAGCCAGGTGTACTTTTATTATCCTCAGTCATAGATGTGAAAAACGAAGCACAAAGACGTTAAGTAATTTGTCCAAGGTTACATAGTTAGTGTAGTGTTGAAACCTACCTTTAATTTAACATCTGCCATTTTAGGGGTGCAGTCCTGTGAGGTTGCTTTAAATACATTTTCTCCAACTTTCACAACAACCTTACAAGTATGATCATTCCTACACTACAGATAATTAAATTAAGATCCAGAAAGGCTAAAGTACACTGTGGCCTTGAGGAAGTGGCAGCGCTAGTCTTAGATTTCAGTTCTGTCTGGTTCCAAAGCCAGTGTTGTACACACAGTCTAAACCCAGACTTATGGATTTCATGGACCACAGATATTTCCAAAAATTAGGAGAGGTGGGAGACCTACATAAAGTTACTGATTATACATGTTGCCATGTATGGATATTCAAAGAACCCACAACAGACAAAACTGGCATCTACTTTTACTATCATGGTAAAAAGGCAAAGAGATTTTAACAGCAAAAATCAGAAAGAATATGACAGACTATCAATCAGAAAATTCCTACTGACATAAACACTCTCTTGTCTGTATTTTTCCCACAATACCAGGCCCCAGTGAAAGCTGTCACAGACAGGGAAGTGTTTAAGAGTCACTTTACCTGTGCTGGAGCCATGAGGGGCTATCCCTGAAATCTATTCAGTTAGCCTCTCCACACCTGCTTCCATTCAGGCTTGTTATCAGGCTTGGTATCCCTGCATTTCTCCACCCACCTGCCTTTTATCCCCCAACATATAAAGTGGGGGAAAGTTACTTATAGATCTTTAAAAATTATTCTGTAGGAATTCTCCCGAGACCCCAAAATACCTTTTTATACTGAACCCTTTTGTAAAGAGATATTTTATTCTCTTTAAAGTAGTAAAGATGCTGCCCTTGAAAACCTACCAAAAGACAAGCTTTCTGTAAGGCCGACTCTAAGAATAATTTTAGTACGACCTGAAATTTCACAGGGAGCCCCTGTAGTGCACACCTTTTCGTCAGCTGGGGAGGCAATTATAATTCCTATCTCCAAGAAGCACTGTGAATAGAAGTCAATGTTTCTCAGCAATTTTAAACACAGACTGCAGGACTTTGGTTGATGAATTGCAAACGAAACCTATTCAAAAGCACAGACCTTTAATTTCACATTTATTCTTGCCAGGAGAAAAATACTTTTTCTGGAAAGAGCAATAACATCTTATGTCTAAACTCCATGAATTTAATTGTTTGGAAGGTATTTCTATAGAACTTATCTTTTGGCAAGCCCTAGTGTTCTTTGGAAAACTTCATGAATGCATAAATTTATCAAGTAAAGTACCATAAACTCTCAACTACCTGATACAGTAAGGAAATGTGGCATTCAAATACTCACACTAAAAAAGTCACCCAACATTAATTATGCCTCAATAAAAGGATTAAAAAGTCACTCTGTTGGTGATTTATAGACAGAAATTTTTCTAAGAATTACAACATCATAAAGTGTACCTAATAAACCACAGTGAACACTGTTTAATCTTTCTGATGATTAAGAAGGCTCTTGAGGATCTGCATTATGAACAGGATTTGTCTTGGCACTACAGCAACATGCCTATTAATAAGGAATTCTAGTTTGAAGACATGCCAGGTGACGGTTAACTGTAACATTTCTACTAAGGTAGAATTCAGTTTTTAAACAACTGGCTTTTGGGGCAGACAGCCCTGTGTTTGCATCTTAGCTCTTCCATTGCCCAGCTGTGAGGTCCAGGGCAAGCTCTCAGATTCCTCTCCTCAGTGTAAAAAACTCCTCTGCTGGAATGTTGATTCTCTTTGCAGCTTCATCTGTGACGTGGAGGGCAGAGTTTGACCTGGCCTCAATACGTTGTTTCTAAAGAAGGGAAGGAACCATCAAAACTAATAATATGAGGATATTAGGACTCACAGGTTACACCCAAATAAAACATCAGATATCTTACATCCACAGGACAACTGTGATAGAATTATTTAAAATATTTGGAAGAGGAAGGTCAGGGGTAAGTAAGATGCGGAAACAGAATTTAAAAGAGGCCTTCCTAATATACAAACTACCTCCTTTGCTCCATTCTATCAAAAGAATGATCTCCCTGAAAATACAGACATTTTGAGCCATGGGGATATACTGTCTGAATTCTATCCTTAGTTTTGGTGTCAGTTCCCACAGAAACAGACACAATTACTTTTAAAATTACATAGGATTTTAAAGAAAGTTGTTATATTCCTGTTGAATTTTTTTTATTTCTCCTAGGAAATTCTAAATTACCCACACTAAGGTCCTTAAATATTTTCATGAAGTATTTAATAACTCTGTTTAGTATTTTTTAATGCTTAGTGTTTAACTCAGCAAATTCTGACATTACCATAAAACCAAAGTCTATGAGATTTCAAAAGATGGTTAGTCTGCCAGCATTTAGATGAATAAAGTCAATTATTACTGTAGCATGCTTAGTACTCTATAATTAATAACTAGTAAAAATTATTGATAGGAAAAAGTTAAAGTTCTTAATTTTTATTTTTCTTGTCCTATAGGTTTGGCACATAAATACTGTAAGATGAATAATGACCCACCTTAATGGAAATCAGCAGATACACAGTTGTTAATATCATGAACCAATATTTTGTTACGTTTTTAATATATGTGTTTTGGGTAACAGTAAAATAAGTCTGCACACCTTGACCTCATGTGCAGACTTCCTAATACCTAATACTGACAGTGGAGAAAATAGCCCTGCAATCTGAAACTATTTGAACTGTATATATTAAGACTTGTTGATCTGATAAAATAAAAACTCTTCTTACAATACTGTACAGTAATAAATAATATCAGGTGGAGAGTGAAGTTACAAACTAAATGTATCACAATATTTCAGTTATGTCAAAATAAGTCCCTAATTGTTTATTGGAATTAATATATTTTATTTGAAACCTTAGTGGGCTAATAATTGAGTATCTGAAAAATCACACAACTAATCCAAATGAACCTCCCTAGTGATATAAGGGGATTATCCTTGGAGAAAAGATTCTTTAAAACATTTTCTATTGTTTTATCTAAAGAGCTGTATTCCCTCATTTTCCCCTATTTGAAATCAGGAGGTAACAACCATTTCTTAAGATGACAAAATTGGGTTTTGGGTATGAACCTCTGACAGTTTAAAAAAATTATGAGAAAGGACTTGTTTGAGGTTAGTTTTCAAACCAATATAAACTCAGGTTTAAAGAATCAGTTCAGGTAACAGGTCACATATATTTTCCTAATTGATAAGATGGGCGAATTTCTAAAAAAAAGAAAGAAAATATTTCAACACTTGACAGTGTTGGTGGGAAGTTAAGTGATGGCACACCTTGCTTCAAGCAATGCCCCCACCAAAAATCCCGACCAGGGGCACTGTCTGTACTTCTGGAATAATAGGGCAAACAAGTCACATCTCAGTATTCCACATAAACAGGAAAAAAAAAAGATGTATGGTTTCTATAGGTATAGACCTCTCAGAAAAGAAAATGGATCACTCAAAACTCTGGAAACCCCAGAAGCAGAATCACAGCTCAAGATTATCATGGAAGTTTTCCTGTTGGAACAGTGGCTAACCTCTCCAGGCAGTCTGGACAGGTGGCAATGGAGGGCTCTGTGTAAACAGAGCACTGACAGAAAGCATGAGCCCCCTGCACTGCGAAGGTTACACCCAAATACGTTAATTCCTTCACTATGTCTTGCTTCACCAGCATATTCACTGCAAAACATATAACAGACACTTAAAATAGAAATCAAGATTACAGGCAATATTTTGGAAACCAGGTCTTCCTCAAGCTGTGGAAAAATCTGGGTGGCCCAGATTCCTTCCTTTCTTAAAATAAGACTGCTTTTCCTCCCACTCTAGAAAAGAACTGGAAATGTTTACATGGATACATCTGATGTGTTGACACAGCTCTTAGCAATAAGTCCTTCAAAAGGGCGATTTTTTCCTTCAGATTCTGCAACAAAGCTCTGATTGTCACGGTAAGCTGAAAAGAAAAGAACACATCCTAAGTATGCTGGTCCAGAGGGATAGAATCTATTTAAAAGATCATGTAAACACTACTTTCCATTCTGTGATTCCACCAAGGACAGGCTGGAAGAGACACTTAGCCTCCAATGACAACCTCAGTTTGTGAGGAATCCTAAGTGTTGCCTGGTTCAGCCACCATCCTAATGCTTACACCCACTCCACAACCTAACCAGGTGATAAGCCAGCCGGTCCATACCTGAACGGACACTGATTGGAAAAATGCCACTTTGTCCTCAGTCAGCTGCATTCTCTCCTCTGAGCATCAACCTTCCAATCCTATTTGTCTGCCTTGGGGCCATGCAGGAAACTGTGTCCCCCAGTCTTTGTTCACCAGTGAAAACCCTACAGTTCCCTCAACCATGCTTCAAATGACAAGAAGATGCCAAGTCCCACCGCCATCACAGCCAGTCTTCTCTAAACACACTGTTATACTTAAAACCCATGTAGACGTTTTATAGCGGTGTGTTCTTTTTATACAAGAGGAATGTTAACCACACATAACTCTTTTCTCCAAGAGTATATGAATTTTCTCCAAGCATTCTACAGACCCGGAGGAAATTCTGCTTGTGACTCTAAACGTACTCTTGAAGGGTGGAGGAGGGATGGGGAGAGAGCGTCTCAGGAATTTAAATATGAAAAATAAAATTGCCTTTGTAAATTAAACATAGTCCACCATGGATGAAATCAGAGATATGTTTTTAAAAAAGACTACCACAGATTTTATTTGCTACCTTGTTAAAAGCAGCAATTATACAACTAGAGTGGAAGCTAGGGTTCCCTCCTTCAATTAGCAGGGTCACAGTCAGGAAAAAACAGAACAGCAGAAGCTGGCCCAGGGCTGCACACATCAAGCAACACTCAAAGGTATCAGCAGCCAAGAAAAGTCTAACCTTAACTATTCTAATACCTCTGGGAGCCACGGAAAAACCACCCACAGTGTTTATGGAGAAAAGCCAAGGAAAGCAGACCTCTCTTCACTCAAAATGTAAAGAACAAAACAAAAAAACGAATCACAACACACATACACTCCAGGCCTAAGAAGAGGTCACAAAATTAAAGGCCAAAAGAGATCAAGAGATGAGTGTACACAGCCACTAAAAAGTGTGACTGACATCTAAATTTGTTAACAAAGAAAGATATCCATTGTAATTTGTTAAAAGAAAAAAAATCAAGTCATAAAACAAACTGTCATCCACATAGAGAAAAATTATCTAGGAAACAAATACATCAAAATGCCAAGAGCAGTTATCTCTAAGTAGCAGGACTTCTTAGTATTTTACAAGAAAATGACTACTTGTATAATCAGGAAAAAATTTCCATTATCAAAATTTAACAGAAACTTTCCAAATCACAGAAAAATGGGAAGCCTAACATATTTTAAGCTAAGACAACCTAGTAACAAACACTGATAGAGATAATGGACAAAAGGAAACCACATGCCCATCTCCCTCGAGGATCACAAATATGTCTTTAAAAAATACAAGCAAAGCAAATTCAGAATTACATTAAAAATGACAATATACCATCACCAAGTAGAATCTATCCTAGTAATTTAAGAACAGTTTGATGTTAGGAAATTTAATAATAAAGCTTATAATGTTAATGATTCAAAATGGGATAAACATACAATTAATACAGCATGGTGGAAATCAATCAGAAACAATACAAAAACAAAGAAAGGAAACAGACTGGAACACTAGTGCCTTAAATGCAACATTACTTAACTTCAGTCTAGAAGTTCTAACCGACACTTTCAGACCCACTAAAGAAATACATAAAGACAGGAAAGAAGGAGATGAAATTCTTATTTGCAGATTGATAGTAGTCTAATTGGGAAAGTTAGGAGAATCAACTGAAAGATTACTAGAAACAGGAAAAGAAGTCAATTAAGGTGATCAATCATAAAATGAAAAAAAAAGCAAGGGCATTCCTAAATTTATGTCATAGCTAGGGAGAAGTAATTTTTTAAATTAGTATTGTTAAATGTTACTAACAATGTCAACAAAACCTGAAAAATATCTAACACAGTACCTGGGACATAGTAACTGTGCAGTAAGTACTGTACTCCTGAACTAATGAGTAAAAGGAAATGCTCAATATTGTAAAAACGTAATGCCTTTCAGTTCAATCTATAAATATACTACATATCTGTTCAAAATCCCATTTGGGGTTTTTTTACTGGAGAAGAGTTGGTAACTCAGGCAGAGCACAAAATCTTTTTAATAAAGCTATGCAAAATTACTCTAAAAGAAGGATGACTGAAGAATTACAGAAAAACCAGGAATATGTGTAACAAAGGGAGACTGAAACAATCATGTATTAAGTCTTATAAAATCTACAAGACAATATACTACATATCTGTTCAAAATCCCATTTGGGGTTCTTTTACTGGAGAAGAGTTGGTAATTCAGGCAGAGCACAAAATCTTTTTAATAAAGCTATGCAAAATTACTCTAAAAGAAGGAAGACTGAAGGATTACAGAAAAACCAGGAATATATGTAACAAAGGGGGACTGAAACAATCATGTATTAAGTCTTATAAAAGCTACAAGACAATGATGTTGGCAGTTGGAAAAGTGTCAACAGTGCAAAAGAACAAAAGATCCAGAAACAGTGCAGTTGTGCAAAAACTCAACAACTGAAACACAGGATATTTCATTTCCTGAGGGGTAAGGGAAATACTGATTAAGCAAATGGGAAAAAATAAAAGAAGATGCCTACAAAATGCCAAAGTAAACTTCAAATATTTTAAAGATTTACACATTAAAAAAGAAACAGAAGAAAAGTGTAAAGAAAATTTAGATAATTAGGTAAAACATTTATGTATTTTCTGGATGTGAAAGGCCTTTCTAAGTGTTATTTTCCCTCTCCCTACAGGAAAAGACCACAAATAAAAATGCCAATAATTTCAAATAAAATTTAAAGACAAGTGCATGTCAAAAAGAAAATGTAATTTATTCAAAGGCCAAATTAATAGAAAAAAATATTTGTACCAAACTTACTATACTTAACATATTTATAAAGAATACCTTGATGTTAAGAAATAATAAATTAGATTAAAGGACATACATACACAGGAAATTCATAAAGGAAGAAATGTAAATATCCAATAAATATATGAAAACATGTTCAATGGCATAAGTAATAAAAAGGTGCATAATACACCACTGTATACTTTCACCAGAGATTTTTATGATAATCATAATTGGTGTAGAACCACAATTCTGCAATACATGCACACACACATATATGTTCAAAGGACTTAAAATTTTATACAACTTAAATCTAGAAAGTCTAGCTTGAGGAATTAATTCTAACATGGGCAATTATTTAGCCACACTCAAAACTCATTTACAATTAGAAATAATCTAACGATCCAAGATGATACTGGTTAAATGGGTCAGAGATCTAAATGTAAAAAGTGAAACCGTACATTTACTAGAAGAAAACAGGAATAAATTCATTTATAATCCAAAATAGCAAAAGCTATGAGTGAAAATACAGGAGTTAAACACTGATAGTCAACACCATTTAGTAAAACCAAAGCTTTCACTTGACAGATGACCATAGGTTTTATGATGACCATAAATAAAGGATAAAGGAAAGGAGACAAGTACAATATGTCACAAATAACCCTTCTCCCCAATATGCAAAGAGCTATTAAAGACAAAAAAAAAACAACAATCCAACAGAAATATGGGCAAAAACAAGAAGCTCACAGAAAAAAAATATATAAATAGTGCTTAACTATTAACCATGTGGACACATACTTCATTTGATTCACAATATGAAAAATGAAATTTAAAACTACACAGAAATATTCTCTCACTTATCAGATTGGCAAAAATTCAGAAGATTGACAGTGTTGGTCAGCCTGTGAAGAAACAGAAACTCTTGTGCACTGCTGGTGGGAGTGACAAAGGTGACTACACCTGTGGAGGGGAATTTGGCAACAGACAAAAATATCATATGCCCCGGTTCTGAGAACTCATCCTTAAAAGATACCTCCACAAATACAAAGGAAAAAAATAAGAACAAGGCTATTTATTATAGCATCATTCATAACAGTAAAAGGCTGGAAACTAAATGCTCATCCTTGGGAGAGAGATTAAATGAACTATGGAACATCTACATATCAGAGTACTATACAGCCCTAAAGAAGAACAGTGAAGATCTCAGTGACTTAATATGGAGAGACCTCTACAATATAGTATCAAATAAAAAGAACAAGATACAGAAAGAGCATCTTTTGTGTAAAAAGAAATGAGAATGTGCATGTGTCATTTCCACACATACCCGCATACACACACACACACACAAAGATGCTTACTTCTGTAAAAATAAACACAGGAAGAATAAATCAGAAATGAATGAAAATGGTTACCTATAGCAAAAAGGTGAAGAATGGATGGAAAAGAGTGGGATTAAACCAAGACTTTCAGTTTACCAATGTATATAATTTTGATTTCAAATAATGTAAATATTTTACATATTTAAAATTAAATCACAAGTTAAGGGGAAAAAAGCAAACCCTAAAAATGAATATAAACAGATACAAGTGAAAGCATGAGACATGGAAACAAAGAATCAATTCTAGAAATATTAGAACAGAATAGCCTCAATATTCTTAATGGGATATTCTAAGTTAAAAAAAAAAGACCCAAACTTAAACTTTACTTAGTGGTTGTAATGGTATGTGTACAGTAATTCTGAAACTATTTTCTATAAAATATAAGAGAGACCAAAAGAGCAAAAATCTATCAATGTTTTTGGAAACCTGGGTTCTCACTACAGAAAAAGTAAAATACTAATTTGGAAGGGGGAAGGTCAGAAGGAAACCCATGGTGTTGGATTTGAACCAAAGATATTGGTATGAACTCATGATTTTCAAAAAAATGTATTTCCTAGGCAAATCCCACCACTGTTTTTATACAGCCTGCAAGTTGTTTACATTTTTACATGTAAAATGTAAAAAAAGACTATTATCTTTTGGTTGAGAATAGATACTCAAAATGGTAAGGTCTCTGACTCTTGTCCTACAAAGCCTAAAAGATTTATTATCTGCGGAAAGTGTACCCTTGACTAGACTCTAATATTGTTAGACACTTCTAAGGTAAAAACTGAAGAAATTAAACGGATGTCATGCTTCATTTAATCTCAGTGATTAAGTAACTATTAACTGGTTGGTTGTGATGTCAATACAACACACATAAATATACAAACCACTCTTCACACACACACAAAGCCTCAGAAATGGGAGAGTTTGCAGACCTCAAGGATCACACAAATCCTTCCAAGTACTAATTCTCTCCTGGCTTACCTTGGTTGTATTTTCACCATTTCTTTCATACCTATTCCGCTGTTGAATTTTCTCAGCAATCTCTTGTGCAATTTGGCAAGTAGAATCATATGTGGAGAACCTGTATCAGAGTCACAAGGGGAGAAAAATGTTTAAGGTTCTTTTAAAGAATTTTCTGCATTATCTAAGCTTTGAGTTTTTAATTCTAGTCACAAATTCAAACAGGAAGGGAGGATAGTAGCAGTAACAGTAACATGCTGAATGGTACTGTGAGCCACTTTATTCTGAATGCTTCATTTGTAATAACTCACTTAATCCACCCAAAACGCTAGGAAGGGAGTGCTGTCACCATGTCCATTTCACATGGGAGGAAACCAGGCACAAACGTTGAGCCATTTGCCCAAGTGGTACCATCAGCTGCAAACCAAGGCTGTCTGGCCCTGAGCCTTTGCTCCTAACCACTCTGCCACTCATAACATGTTTGTATTCACTCATTCATAAAACATTCAACAAACAGTTACGAAGGTTCTCCTCTGTAGTGAGCCCTATTCTAGGCCCTGGAGGATATAGCAGTGAACAAAAGTCCCTGCTTCCAAGGAGCTTAGTGAAGGGACAAAGGCATAGAGCAAATACATAGCGTTGATACGGGCTAAGAAGAAAAATAAAGCAGGATAATGGGACAGAAGGTGCCGGGCAAGGTGAGGAAGCCAGCCCCGTAGATATCTGGTGAAGAGCTTTATAGGACAGGAACAGCACGTACTTTACATCCTACAACAAAGGCTCTGGTGACAAAGGACACACACCCACTAGGCAGGTAAGCTCACCAGAATTCTCTCAAAACAGTTACTAAGTTTCTGTGTTATTCAGCAGCACTGGGGGCTCTGACGGATTCACACCAAATCCCCAGCAGTCCCTCATTTTTTCCTTTTGTGATGGCCTTTTTACTTTCTATTTGTTTTATAGAAAATACTAAACTGTGCATACACATTTCATCTCTCTGCTCCTAAAGCACAGGGACTAAGCCGTATGATACAACAAACGTATTTTCCAGGACTGACCCAGTTCAAAATATTGAAAAGTGCTGTTTGACCTAATGATCCAATTTTTTGCTTGAAAAAATGAACAATCCATTTTTTAAAATCTTATTTCCACATATCATGTGTACATTGAGGAAACTTGGGAAATGTATTTTTTGAATGAAGAAAAAACAATCCTCAATTGCTTCCTTTAGGAATCTTGCTATAGTCATTATAGCAATGGCTGACAACTGAGTACCTGATCTGGGCCAGGTTCTACACTAAGAGCTTTACATTTTAAACTTCACAAGGATCCTGTGAGGTAGGATCTTCAACAACTCACCACTACACTCAAAAATAACATCATTTGCATGTATGTATATATTTGTGTGTGTATGTATGTGTGTATCACACACATATATAAAACAAGAGCAGGTATACAATACATAATTAAGAGAACAGGAGGTAAGCTGACAAGGAAAACTGGATCCTGGTACCAGCTTTGCCACATTTCCCCTTTCTTCCTTCCATATTGTCATCTATGAAAGGAGATGTTCAAGTCTGGCTCTGTGGTTCCTGACCATACCTATGCAAATCAATAATAAGGTACAATACACTTCCTGCCAAGTGTGGAGTATAAATGGTAAATACTTTCGGAGTTTGAACATGAGAGAAATTACCATTGGCTGAGGCACTCAGACCTGACAAGGCTGCATCCAGGGGTTAGTTACATCTTGGGCTGAACCACGAGGTTAAAGCAGACCTCTCATTCCCACAGGAAGGAGGAGCAAATTCTATACTCTGCAGAGGCACAGGGAGCCAGCAAAGCTGAAAGGAAGGTGCCTTGCACATTTGACTGGTGCCCAGAGCAGAAGCATAAGGCAAAAGACAGTAGGGATGAACGGAATCTGGTTCTGCAGAGTCTTCAACACGAGAATAACGTTAGGCTTTTTAAAGAGAACTTTAGAGCTGTATGGGATACTTTTATACACAAAGTGAGGCCTTGGAGAGGTTATATGAACTACTGAAGGCCAAAATCCCAGATGTCTTACCCGATCCTCATGTTCTCACTTTAGCCCTAAAGAACAGTGATTCTGAAGCTTTGGTATACATTGGGATCACTGGAGAATCTTTAAAACAAAAACAAAGCATAAAACAATTCTTTGCTCCCACCCCCAAGCACTCTTGACTAAACTGGTATGGGGTTTGCCCTGGACGTGAGCTGTGTGAGCTCCTCAGGTAATTCCAGTCTGTAGCAAAGTCTGACAACCACTGGCCTAGTGGTAATGGACAACCTCATCATAGTATTAAGCACACAAGCGCCTAAAGTACTAGTTCAGGAAAATTAACGTGAATTCCATTTACCTAAATAGTTGGGAATGAGAGTAGAGGGGCAGGGAACTAGTAGAAGACTTGTACAGCTGTTCAATTCCATAACTAGTCACCAGTATTTACTATCTGTAAGTCAGAAGGCAAAAAGGATGGGACTATAGCAGGAAAAAACAGCATAAAAGAGGCATTAGGAACATTTAAAAGAAAAAAACAAACAAAATTAGTGAATAATCTGATGTGAGGAGTGAAGAAAGAGTGGATTATTAGAGTTTTCAGGCCTGTAAGACAAAGAGGATGGTGATGCCATGACAGAAACCCAGAAACTAGAAAGCGGAGCAGAAAATAAGTGTCCAGACTATGAACTGGGTCTCTGTTTGATCACAAAAACACTGGCTGTACATTATATTGACATATATGTATATATAAGATTTACTTTAAAAATACACTTAAAAAGATGTAGAAGGCAGAGTGGAAACAAGAATGGCAGAATATTGAACATTATGAAAATTGGGTGATGAGCATAAAATGGCCTATTATACTATTCCACTTGGTATATTTTTTACATTCCATAATATATACTTTCTAAAATAAATAGACCTCCCCCCTCAAAAAGCCCAACTGGAATAGAAAACTGTTAAGGTTTAACTGTAATTTTTCCAGAAATTGTCCGTCAACAAATAAGTTGTCCTAGCAGTAAAGCTAATTAACTTTAGCAAAGAATCAGACAGTAAGCACTTGCTATTTCTATAAAAAGTGGGCCGACCACTTACTTTGATAAGCTATTAAAACAGTAACTGCTATATTTCATTTCTAAACATCAGAACACTAATAAGCATCATTGACCTATGATTTTCAATAGAATGAAGGCAAAGCTGTAGTCCAGTCTGTTTTTTATAGGTTTCCCAAAGTCTCAGTCCATACTCTTTTTTACCTTCCTGACCACCAACTGACTAGGCAAGTTCGTAGATGCTAGCGTAGCAGATGTGCACACTGTTTCACTTTCAACAGTCAAAGAGAAAAACAGTGAGTCAAACTACTTGAGAGTTAACAGGAAAAATTATAAATGCTTTTTCAGCATTAACTTTGGAAGAGGCTTGGGGTCCAGTGGTAGCTTCCACCAGTCTAAATGAATAGCCTGGTACCTCTCCCTTACCTCTGAGCTTTATTTCCTACCTCCTGTGTAAAGGGAGGGAGTTAGCTTCCAGTAGGTGGAGGGCAACTTAGCAAGGGCCTTAAAAATGTTCATACGCTTGGACCCCAAATTCCACTTCTAGGAAGTGAGCCAAAGAAATAAGGTATGAAACAAAGGGGCAGTCTTTGCAACAGTTAAGAAACAAACAAAAATACCCTAATATTACAAGAGTTATAAAGAGGGGAATCATTTAAAAAATTGCGGCCATTCATATGATGCACTATTATGCACCATAAAAAATCATGTTGTCAGGAAAAAATGATTTGGAAGGTTTACTGTTTTGTAAAGCATATATACAGACATATTATATAAAGCAATAAATTCATTAAAAACCAGTAGTGGTAATTATTCCAAATGATAGCATTAAAGATGGGTTTTTCTTCCCTCTCCAAATATTCAGTATTTTCTAAATTTTCTATCCATGTGTATAGATTGTTAAAATTATGTAGGAAAAAATTCGTGTTAAACCAATTAAGCCATTGACCCAGGTTAACCTAGATCCCCAGACAGTGCTAACTTCGACCTTGCAATCCATTCTCATACGCATACTGTCTGCAACTTAAAAAATTATAAATTATATTACAAACACCAACATAAGACATACACTCCAACAAGAACTTTATAAAACTGTTATATGTTTCCAATTATTAAACAAAAATCTCAAGATTGATATAGGATAACAATAGGTTCCCCGGGATCAGAACTTGTGTATTTCATCATTACTCCTTGGCACTTAATTTTTGAATAAATGACCCTTCTGGCAGTTATTGTTTTACTGCATAAGTTGCTGCCCTAGAAATAATCTTCATGATACTGACTCAGTTAACGATAAAAAGCCTTATTTAATAATGCGTAATTTCTCTGCCAAAGTCCTACAACTTTTTTGAAGGGTGAACAAGATCTGGGTCCTAGCGCCAACTGGTTACTAACGGGCTTGCTTGACCATGAATTCTCAACTTCGTTTTCTCCACCAGTGAAATAACGGGTTCACCAGATAGGCTGGCATTCCACAAAAAGGTTCCTCGTTTTCACAAGAGTCAAGGGAAGCCTGCCCCAGCCAGCTCCACAAGCAGGATGGGAGGGAAATCACCGCGGCGAGATGCAGGCGATATGGGCTGGAGAAATGTTCAGAGATTCGCCACTTAGCCTCCGCTTCCCGGGAACACACTGTCCTTCCCAGGCCACACCTGCCAAGGACCAAGGGTGGCGGGATGGGGCAAGGTTCCCCTCAGCAGGAAAAGGGTCCTCGCCGTTCTTCCCCTCATCCCGAAAGTCCTCTAGCCCCAAAACCTAGCGTTCGCCCAGTCCCAGGAAGCCCGGCCTCCCCCAAGGGCTCTCTGAGCGCGGCGGCCCTCACCCGGGGCTCCCCAGGGGTCCGGGGCCATCGTGCAGTCTCCGCCCACTCCCCGGACACTTCCTGCTCGCAGCAGCTGACTACGGCGGCCCGCGCGGCTCACAATTCGCGATTAGACCCCGTGAGCGACCGGTACCTGGAGTTTGCAAAGTAAATATACCCTAAGGCCTCAAAACTGTGATAAAGAAAGGAAACCGGACCCCCATGGAACATTAAGTTGGAGCAGTCGGCTCCCACTAAGAGATGCGAACAGCTGGGCGCAATGAAAAGAAAACGGTTGTTGAACAAAATCAAAGCATTTTCCTAGGAAAGTCGGAGCATCTCAAGATGCTTAAAATTTACCAAATTTTACTTGTTACTCTAGCAGTTACTTAAAGTTTTATCCTGCTTAAAACAGAAAGAAAAACAAAAAAGTGGACTGTAGAGATACACAATGTATGGATCTACCAAAACTCACTTAAATGAATTTTGATATGTACATCATACCTCAATAAAGCTTTAAAAAATTCGGCTTCAAACGGAGACCCAAAGAAGTAAGCTATATATTATTTTCCAGCAGCCTTCCCCTAAGTGCCATTAGGTGCTTGATTATATAGTTACCAAAAAGGTCACGGACTCTTTACATACAGGAGGGAATTTATTCTGTGCATTTAGCGCCTGTTAAGTTTTCAGAGAAATAGGAAGGAAAAAGCCCTCTGCGTTTGCTGAACGAAACTCCGAATTCCGCAGGCTAGGTTACAGCGCACGCGTGGAGCTGGCGCGCGTGCGCAAAACCGTTACCATAACGACCTAAAGACGCTGCACGGGAGGCTGAGGAAAGTGAACTTAGTCTCCGCGTGATGGAGAAACAAATTTCGCCCGATGCAAACGTGGCCGATCTGGAGCTAGAGGCCGTCATCGGCTTCAATGGTGAGGCTTCGAACAGAACCCCGGGATCTTGTGACACAATCAGGGGCAGTGAGACACCGGGTGCCACCTGGAAGGCAGTGTGGGACACTGGCATGAGCACAGGCTAGGGCCAAGCACAGGGGGCGCAGACAGCCTCTCCAGGACAAAGTCTCAGAGTCACCTCCTCGCTCCGAGCCTCAAGGAGTGGGATGGTTTTTGCCAGCACCTAAAAGGAGCCAAATGCCTCTCCTCTCAGGGCTGGAAGGATGAATACAAATGGTTGTGGCCCTTATCCCACTAGGTCAGCTCTCCCGTCGCTCTATTTCCTACGCAGGTCGCAAATCTTCCCGCCCCTTCGAAACCACTAGGTTATGGAGTCTGTATCTGCCGCTGGGACCAACTAACTTCCAAAATACCAGTTGATGTATCAGTGAGAAAGGGCGGGGAGGGAACGTGTATTTGAGCAACCGTTTGAGAAGGTCTTGTCCTCTAACGCGAAGAAAGGATTCTAACCGTCGATTTCAGGCGTCGATAGGAGGCGAAGGGGACGCCAGGGGTAGCTGGAGGGGAAAGATGCTTTGGTCAGAGGAGGTCTGGTTGGTCTACTCAAATCTTATTTATGCTGCGCATTTGAACATCAAGGGGGGAAAAAGCTGTTTTTTGTTGTTGTTGTTGTTTGTTTTGAGAAGAATGAAAACCAAGCATTTCGGTATTTTAGAAAGAGCAAACTTTTTAAAAAGTTCGTTGTGATTCCTGAAAGCTATAAAATTTTAATAATGTATATGTCGATTAATCAATGACTAAAAATGCTTTAAGCACATTCTGGGACTTAGCTCTTGACTCTGTTTACTTTAGTAGTCTCTAATAGAAAGTGGGCACTTAGTACAACTGAGATATTAGCCATCTTTACAGCTGTTTACCAGACCATTGGTAAAGGAAGTGAGTGACTGACAGTGAGTGCAAAGGGGGCACCCTGGTTACCAGTGTGAAACCTCAAACAGCTCTGCAACTGCACTCACGCTGTTTTGTAGAGCTCCTAGAGTAAATATATGGTATACTGTATCGTGATGTCTTCCATGGCGAATATTAATGATCTTGATCTTTTAAAATGTTCCAAATTAATTGAACTGTTTATACTTTGTTGGCTTTGTGACAATTGATATTCTTTCATATAGTCAATATACAGTTATATGTACATGCTCAATACTTAACTATGCACTGAGAATACAGGGGTAACTACAAACATAAGAAGGGGAGTATAGAAAATTGGAAAAATAGAGTGAAACCAAAAGAAAAATCAGCTATTGTTACATTTCCCAAATATATCACTGTTAAACTTTTGGTGTGATCATTTCAACTATGTATTTACATATAAATATTTCTTATTAAAGTATCATTGAGATACAGTCTTATGAAGGTTTCACATGAACAACATTGTGGTTTCAACATTTACCCATATTATCAAATCCCACCCCCCATTGCAGTCACTGTCTATCAGTGTACTAAGATGCTATAGAGTCATTACTTCTCTGTGCTGTACTGCCTTCCCAAGAGCTACCCATATTGTGATTGCCAATTATACTGCCCCTTAATCCCTCCCCAACACCTTTCCTATGGTAATTGCTAGTACCTTCTCAGAGTCTGTGAGTCTGCTGCTATATTTGTTACTTCAGTTTTGCTTTGTTTTTATACTCCACAAATGAGTGAAGTTCATTGGGTACTTGTCCTTATCCGCCTGGCTTATTTCACTAAGCATAATACTCTCTAGATCCATCCATGTTGTTGCAAATGGTAGGATTTCTTTTTATGGCTGAAAAATATTCCATTGTGTATATGTACCACATCTTCTTTATTCATCTATTGATGGAAACTTTATCGTTTCCATATCTTGGCTATTGTAAATAGTGCAGCCACAAACATAGGGGTGCATATGTCTTTTTGAATCAGGGATCTTGTTTTCTTCAGATAAATTCCTAGGAGTGGAATTCCTGGGTCAAATGGTGTTTCTATTTTTAGTTTTTTGAGGAACTTCCATATTGCTTTCCACAATGGTTGAATGAATTTACATTCCCACGAACAATGTAGGAAGGGTTCCACCTTCTACGCATCCTCGCCAGCATTGTCTTTTGGATGTTGACTATCCTAACTGATGTGAGGTGATATCTCATTGTCTTTTTAATTTGCATTTCCCTGTTGATTAGCGATGTGCAGCATCTTTTCATGTACCTGTTGGCTACCCAAATTTCTTCTTTGGAGAAGTGTCTGTTCATATCCTCTGCCCATTTTTTAATCAGATTATTTGGTTTTGGGATATTGAGGCATGTGGATTCTTTATATAATTTGGATGTTAACCCCTTATTGGATAAGTCATTTATGAATATATTCTCCCATTCTGTAGGATGCCTTTTTGTTCTGTTGATGGTGTCCTTTGCTCTACAGAAGCTTTTTAGTTTAATGTAGTCCCACTTCCTCAATTTTTATTTTGTTACCCTTGCCTGAGGAGATGTGTTCAGGAAAATGTTTATATTGAATACATTTTTGCCTACATTCTCTTCTAAGAGTTTTATGATTTCATGACTTACATTCAGGTCTTTGATCCATTTTGAATTTACTTTTGTGTATGGAGTTACACAATAATCCAGTTTCATTCTCTTATATGTAGTTGTCCAGTTTTGCCAACACCAGTTGTTGAAGAGGCTGTCATTTCCCCATTGTATATCCATGGCTCCTTTATCATATATTAATTGCCCATATATGCTTGGGTTTATATCTGGGCTCTCTATTCTGTTCCATTGATCTATGGGTTGGTTCTCGTGCCAGTACAAATTGTTTTGATTACTGTGGCTTTGTAGTAGAACTTGAAGTTAGGGAGGGTAATCTCCCCAGCTTCGTTCTTCCTTCTCAGGATTGCTTTGGCTATTTGCGGTCTTTTGTGGTTCCATATGAATTTTAGAACTATTTGTTCTAGTTTGTTGAAGAATGCTGTTGGTATTTTGATAGGGATTGCATTGAATCTGTAGATTGCTAGACAGGATGACCATTTGACAATATTAATTCTTCCTATCCATGAGGATGGAATGTATTTCCACTTATTGGTGTCTACTTTAATTTCTCTCATGAGTGTCTTGTAGTTTTCATGGTATAAGTATTTCACCTCCTTGGTTAGGTTTATTCCTAGGTATTTTACTCTTTTTGATGCAATTGTAAATGGAGTTGTTTGCACGATTTCCCTTTCTGCTAATTTGTTGTTAGTATATAGGAATGCAACAGATGTCTGTGTATTAATTTTGTATCCTGCAACTTTGCTGAGTTCAGTTATTAGTTCTAATAGTTTTTTGGTGGAGTGTTTAGGGTTTTCTATGTATAATACCAAGTAGTCTGCAAGCAGTGACAGTTGAACTTCTTCCTTACCAATTTGGATGCCTTTTATTTCTTTGTGTTGTCTGATTGCCGTGGCTAGGACCTCCAGTACTATGTTGAATGACAGTGGTGAGAGTGGGCATCTTTGTCTTATTCCCTATCTTAGAAGAAAAACTTTCAGCTTTTTGCTGTTAAGTATGATGTTGGCTGTGGGTTTGTCATATATGGCCTTTATTATGCTCAGGTACACACCCTCTATACCCATTTTGTTGAGCATTTTTATCATGAATGGATGGTGAATTTTGTCAAATACTTTTTCGCCATTTACTAAGATGATCATGTGGTTTTTGTCCTTCTTTTTGTTGGTGTGGTGTATGATGTTGATTGATTTTTTAATATTGTACCATCCTTGCATCCCTGGAATAAATCCCACTTGGTCATGATGGATGATTTTTTTGATGTATTTTTGAATTTCATTTTGATAATATTTTGTTGAGTATTTTTGCATCTATGTTCATCAGGGATATTGGTCTATAATTTTCTTTTTTTGTGGTGTCTTTGTCTGGTTTTGGTATTAGAGTGATGCTGACCTCATAGAATGAGTTTGAAGTATTTCCTCCTCTTCTACTTTTTGGAATACTTTAAGGAGGATGGGTATTAGGTCTTCTCAAAATGTTTGACAAAATTCAGCAGTGAAGCCATCTGGTCCAGGAATTTTGTTCTTAGGTAGTTTTCTGATAACCAATTCAATTTCATTGCTGGTAATTGTCTGTTCTCATTTTCTGTTTCTTCCTGGATCAGTCTTGGAAGGTTGTACTTTTCTAGAAAGTTGTTCATTTCTTCTACATTGTCCAATTTTTTGGCATATAATTTTTCATAGTATTCTGTAATAATTCTTTATATTTCTATGGTGTCTATTGTGATTTTTCCTTTTTTCATTTCTGATTCTGTTTATGTACGTACACTCTCTTTTTTTCTTGTTATGTCTGGCCAGGGATTTATCTATTTTGTTTATTTTCTCAAAGAACCAGTCCTGCTTTCTTTGATTCTTTCTGTTTTTATTCTTCCCAATTTTATTTTTTTATCCTTTGATCTTTATTATGTCCCTTCTTCTACTGACTTTGGGCCTCATTTGTTCTTCTTTTTCTAGTTTAATTGTGAGTTTAGACTGTTCATTTGGAATTGTTTTTCTTTTTTGAGGTAAGCCTGTATTGATATATACTTTCCTCTTCGAACTGCCTTTGCTGTATCCCACAGGTTTTGGGCTGTTAAGCTGTTATTTTAATTTCTCTTCATATATTAATTGATCTCTGTTTTAATTTGGTTATTGATCCATTGATTATTTAAGAGCATGTTGTTAAGCCTCCATGTGTTTGTAGGCTTTTTTGTTGTCTTTGAATAATTTATTTCCAGTTTTATACCTTTGTGGTCTGAGAAGCTGGTTGGCACAATTTCAATCTTTTTGAAATTACTGAGGCTCTTTTTGTGGCCTAGTATGTGATGTACTCTTGAAAACATTCCATGTACACTTGAGG